CATAATGATAAAATTATTCTATTACTTCAAATTGATTGGCTCTCTCAGCAGTATTTATATCATCTAGTGAATCAGCATTTTTTGGCAAGTAAAATAATCCACTTATTGAAATGCTTATTTTTCCTGAAAAAAAAAAAATATAAATATCCAATTCGAAATTTAAATATTAAGTGTAGGTTAATATAGGTTTGTATTGCTCTTTGTTGTATACCTTGTTGAGTAGATCTAAAAATCTCTTCATACAACCTATAAGCTTTTCCATGGGCAATAAGTTGTGTATGACCAGCCAAATAATACCCAGCATTATTTAAACGTAAGTATGGTGCAAAAGAATTAAAAGCATAACCAGTGGAAACCTCTAATGGTTCATTAATTGTAATCCACCATTTTACCTATGAAGAGTACAAAATGTAAAGACTGTTAATGTTATTAAATTATTTATTTAACATACTCTGTCTCCATAATAAGTAAACAACACTCTTGCATATTCCTTAAAGTAATCTGACATGATTGGATTCACCCAACCACCAAGATCTTGTAGATATTGTGGTAGATCCCAATGATACATTGTTACCTAAATAAGATTACATTTATAATCTTTTTACTWTATTTCAATCAAATATCAAATCATACATACAATTGGCATTATATTATTTTCAATAAGTTCATCAATAATAYGATTATAGTATGCTATTCCTTTTTGATTTAATTTATTCATTTCTCCCGATGGTGCTATTCGAGCCCATGATATGGAAAAACGATAAAATTTCACCTAGAAGAATAATAAATTTAAATGTATTTTGAGTAAAAAAATCAATTTTTAATATTACATTTAAATTTTTTGCTAATGCTACATCTTCTTTATACTTGTGGTAGGAATCGCAGGCAATATCTCCATTTGTTCTATCTCTTATTAATTCCGGACTAGTATGAACCAGATGATCCCAGATATTTTCTCCTTTTCCTAAAGAATTGACATYCCTAATTATTTACAATTTATATAACTACAATAATTATTAGTGTTTTTTGTATAGGATCAATGACAATATTAAATACATATAAAAATGTTTGTTTACCATCTTCATTCCAGCCTCCTTCTATTTGATAAGCAGCAGTTGCAGTACCAAACATAAAGTCATTTGGAAATTTATAATCCATTGAATTTACATGAGAAATAATAAAAATTACAAGTAAGAACGTAATTTTYATCATTTGAATATTGAATGTCATTGAATTGTGCAAGAACACTGCAATAATTCTTAATAAAATGTCKCTTTTCAAATGGATAAATATCAATATATTTCTTAACTGGAGTCTGGCTATCAATTAAACCCTACACAAAAAAAGTGAATTTGTAGTAAGTGATACCCACTTACCTATAGGCTAAAATAA